ACTTTTCTTCTGTTTTGTAAACCTAAAACCTATTAGGATTCAAGACTGATTACAGTCTTGATCTTCTACTTATAACTACTAACATTACATAAAATTGACAAATATCCCAAAGTCTTTGTATGCCCCCATCATCTTTCACCTCAAGTTGATGAAGCATACAGCTCAAAACCTTTTTTTTTTAAATGAAAAAAAAATGATAATTTATACAAATCAAGTAAACTTAATTATTTGGTCAGTTACCAATAAAATCAGATAACCCATACTAAAATATCATAATCATGGAACATGAATTAATTTCCAAGAAATAACTTGATCTTTTTTTTTACTTTTTGGTACCTATTAAGTAAGTATTTATTTACAGAAAAAAAAAATGAAGTTTGGAGTCATTTCAAGGGGTGAGAATTTGGAGCATAAGTCATTTTCAAGGTTGGTGGCTTCCAAATCAGCTTCTGAGCATTGTGTGACTAATTCTAAGAAGACAATTGTTGAGAAATGAAGGAAAGACTTTATAGAAGTAGATGAAGATACCAAAACGCAGAAGGTAGACAATGAAGAGATTTGTGACAAAATTAGGAAGATAGAGAAAGAGATTAACTTGGAAAAGTTATTGATAGAAAAGTTCAACTAAACTATTGGCTTTTTTTACTTGGGAGGTAAGGTGTTTACAAGAAAGTTTTTGAGTTCAAGAATAGGGAGGGTGATACTGCTGACCAAACTTTCATTGGGCCTAATAGCCATGGTGATTGAGGCATAATTTCCAATTGAATGGAGGTTTGGAGATGTAGCCTCTTTTAGCTTGAGCATTATGGTGTATTTTAGGTGGGGTGGGGGTGGGGGGATGGGCTGGTCCAGTGGAGAATTAAGGACTTAAGTTCTTTTCATGCTGTTTTGGGTCCTATTGATAATGAGGATGATTATTTTCATTGTTAATAATTGAGGTGTGGTTCGGTGTATTTGTGATATATTTTCTTTTTCTTTCCAGTGATTCCTCATCACCTTTTAGGGTATTTTGTTCCATTTTTAATGAGTCTTTATTTATTATAAAAAAAATGAAGTATGTAGGCTGATTATAAAACCACCCAGAAAAGGTAAAGTGAAAAGAAACTAATAAATGAGAAAGCCAAAAAGAAGCATACCGGCTGCTCTACATGATCATTCCAAAAGCTAAGAGTTGAATTCCTTGCTTCATCAATCCAATTGTTAATGTCAGAACTTCCCATCAAACTACTATGACGAAGGAGCCACACTGAACAAACTGAAAGGCCAACTGCTCCACATGTATAGCGAAACCAGTATAATGTCATTCTGCTTGGTTTTTGGTATCTTGAAACCTTATTGAGAAAGAAAGAAATATGTATCATAAATTGGTATATTGTCCAGCACCTAGAATCCAATTCAACAGGACTACAATCACAAAGTTGTACTTCTGTACTTGCTCTGCTATTAGAGTTCTATTTTTTTACAAATTAAAAGTGAAACTCCACCTTGTTGTAAAATAAATTATCATTTTCAGTCTATGCCCCCCTCTCTTCTTGTCTCTTTCCTTGACAGTTTTGGTCTTTCTTTCTCTCCACTTTTCTGTTTTTCACCTTTCTTTTGTTTTCTGTTTCTCTGTTTTTTTTTTATCAGCAAAATGAGAATTTCATTCAATTAAGAGAAATAAATACAGGATTACAGCAGCTAGAAGCAGACATTGCACCAGAAATAGTTACAATAAAGCCCAAAAAAAGTGTTGTCTTTTAACTCCCTGTTTAGATAGAGAATCAGCCATTTCATTTGCAGTTCTCCTGAGCCATGTGAATGAGGCATTGAGTTCCCTTGCTATGCTTACTATCTCCCATAACATATTTCTATAGATCCAAGGAACATTACCGCTTGAATTGGTCCACGATATCACTATTTTTGAGTCCCCTTCTATCTCCAAGTTCTTAAGATCTGCCTGCTTGGCAATTTTTAACCCTTGTAGCAGAAATAATAATAGTTCAGCTTTTAAAGAATCACCTTCCCCTAAAGGTCCCGAGTACATAGCCAACCTTACGTGAGGAATCTCTGATCACACCACCAATTCCTGCCATCCCCGGGTGTCCTACTGAGCTCCCATCAAAGTTCAGCTTAATCTTGTTTGGACGTGGGGGCTTCCAATCCATCACCTTTCTTTCTTCTCTGCAGTGTGTGCCACTTCAATCCATACTCTTACTATATCAGTAATTGAGCAATTTTGAAAGAGCTGGAGTGATTTTACCCAGTGTGCAACTTTTATCTTTATGGCCTCCACTAGATCTTCTTTTGACCTATACTTCTGTTTCTGTATATTTCTACTATACTTGATCTTCAATGAATTCTTGTCACTATATAAAAAAAAGGCCTTCGTCACAGAAGTCAAAATTAATGCATCCTTCCTTGCAAATGTTTCTGAAAACTTAACGGCAAATAAATGAGGCTCATGATGCTACTTTAATACATTAGAAGTTCTCTTTTTCAGAAGAGGTACAGTGTAATGTCATTAATGAGAAAAGAAAGAAAACATGTACAACAAGCTGGTGTACACAGGGATTTTCAATCACTCCCACACAGTCTAATACCCCCACCCTGTTTTACAAAAAGATTATCATCATAATCATTCAAGCCTTATCCCAACTATATGGGGTCAGCTACATGAATCCTGTTTTGCCAATCTGTTCTTTTACAAAAAAAAAAAAAAAGGTTATAATGTACAAAAAAAGAACAACAATCTTTGCCATTGGACAACTTGTTTACAGAAAGCAAAGAGAGCATTTTGCCAACAATTTTCTGAAATACTGAATTACTAGAGCTACTTTTGTTCTTAAATTGTCTTGCATATCTCTCCTGTCAAATGCACCAAAATACCGATGCTGGATCCATGTTCCATGCCAATTTTCCCCTCTTGGATAATCCTCCAGTTCTCAAGAATTTCAAAAAGTCCATTACCAATTCTGGACAAAGTTTCACCTCAAATTATTGTGGTTAGACTCTTTTGTAGATGTGGGATGAAGGGCATATGTGACTTCATAACCAAGCAGAAACTGACACTGCATGGAACTCAGTTCAGCATGATTGAAGCATATAGAGGTTGAAAAGAATTTTATCAGGGATAAAGTCATTTCCAGTAAAGAGTGCATGCCCTTTGTGAAACCTGAAAGTCAGCTAGAAGATATTCTCACAGGAGCCATTAAGCCTAACTTCAATGCTTTACTTGTCAAACTGGGCATGCTCAACATCTATGCTCAGCTTGAGAGGGAGTATTACTTTATTTAGTATCTGTATCTTTCAGTCTTTTTTTTCTTTTTTGGTTATTTTAATGGCAATTTAGTCATTGTATTCCATATAATAAAGATTAATGAATAGGCTAACAGCCCAATAGTCATTTGCCATTTCTCCTCTTTCTTTATTTATTCAAAAAAAATCTCCTCTTTCTTCTCTTCCTTTCTTCCTACTTTCTTCGCCTTACATAAATACAGGGATACAGATAATCCTTGAACATTAAAATCAATGTTTAATTGTTTAAAAATGCAATGGTGTGACCATATGAGGTAAGGAAGAGTATATAAATATGCATACAAGAGCATATATTATTATGTAGGAAAAGAATATAAATGATCAAATAAACAGGAGTTTAGAAAATTAGAAGCTTTATAAAAATCCAACGGTCTTACAAATCATTTAACAACTATTAAGAAGCTCTAAATGTTGATATCAGCATCAGCATCATTATCCAAGCCTTATCTCAACTATAAGGGCGTTGACTACATGAATCCTGTTTCACCACTCCATCTGTCAAATGTCATATCCATTGTCAAATTATTAGTGCTTCAACCATTCTTACTACTTCGACCCATGTCCTTTTTCAGTCTACCCCTACCCTTTCTAGCCCCTTCAACTTGCAACAAATCACTTCTTATGGGTGCTGTCAAAGGTCTTCTATGCACATGACCAAACCATCTTTGTCTACTTTCTCTCATTTATCGCCTCTTGGAGCTGCTCCTAGATTCCTTCAAATGACTCCATTTCTGGCTCTATCCTTTCTAGTTTTTCCAGTCATCCATCTCAGCATACGCATCTCTGCCACACTAAATGTTGATATAATACCTCATAATAATTTTTACCATCCTAAAGCATAGATAGAAGCACATACATATAGATACACACACACAAAATGGCATCCCAAGTGTGAGGTATGTGCTTCATACATTAAGGGATGAACTTCAAGGTTGAGCCTTTGAGAATTTTCCTTGAGTGGTGTTAAAAACACTGATTAAAGTTCAGCTATTCTCAAGTCAGGTATTTAGGTTAATACAAAAGGTATACCCATCACCCATTACTCATCTCAGAAAAACTTCAACACTAAATGAAAAAAGTCTTGTATGATATTCAAAAAACTGTTATAATAAACAAGGTAAGGTAACAGTTCTTGAAAGCTATGTGCAGTTCCGTTTATAATTAATACAATTTTGAGTTATTTAGGAAAAAAAAAGGTATGGAAACAGTAAACTACCAATCACAGTAAAAATACTACCTCTATTCCCTTCTTGTTTAACCATTTCAGAACTTATTTTATAGAACATAGGGGCATCATTGAAAACACTTACAAGGAGAGATAAGTAGGAATCAAGCTTGTGGAGATTTTGATAAATCAAATTGATAGCATCCCTTATTTCACAATCTGTCCACTGGGACCCATCCTGGTTAACCTCTGGCAGTTTCTCAAACAGTAGAGAAGATGAGTTGCTCCCATCAACAGGAACAGAAGAATTGCTCTGCTGGATCATTTCATTAGAAAAGGTTGAAATTTGAAAATACGTAGGAATAGGGACTTTTATGCATATTTGTAAATGATATGATAACAAGTCTAGAAACTATAACTGTTAAGAAGTGATCTTGAAGCTTTCTAACCATAAATGATGTAATAATATATGTTCTCCTTGCAGGTACCTGAGACATTCCATGTGGATGGCTAACTGATGCCTCCAGTTTCAAAAATAAGCTATTAATGATCATCAATAATGAGGGCAATGACTTCTCTGGATCCTTGATCAAATCCTCCACAACTTTGTCAACCTCCATATAGACCTAATGTGCCATCAAGAAATTAATTCAGAACTGATCGCATTTACATATTCATGTATTTTTTTTTATCAATAACAATTTCATTAATTCACCAAAGAGGTTACATAAGGAAGACAAACACACTTATCTTCCAAGTACAATCAAGAAAACAAAAGAATAGGTAGAGACAAAAAATTACAACTTAGCCCAAAACATTGAATCCCTTTCTGCCCCTTGTTTAGCTAAACCATCAACTAGAGAATTGGCTGATCTTTTGACCCAGCACATTTTAACTTCCATCTCCCGCATCAGCCACTTAAATTTCCTCCTCTGATTATTGTACCTCCATAAACCATTGCTGTCTACATTCAGCCACCCTATCACCACCTCTGAATCCCCTTCATATAAGAGTTTTCTGATGTTCATCTCCTTGGCTTTCTGGACTCCTTCCATAACTGCAAAAATCACAGCTCTAAGGGAGTCACCCACTCCAATTGGACCTGAGAACAAGGCAAAAATAACCCCATTCTCATCCCTAAATACACCCCCAATCCCTGATTGTCCAGGGTTCCCCCTACTACTCCCATCAAAATCTAATTTCAAGAACCCAGCAGGTGGAGGTGTCCAAGACACACTCATTACTGACTTGGTCTGCGTGCACTTTGCTATTTCACCCCACTTCCTCAACATGTCATCCACTGTGTAACCTGTGAATAGTTCCAAAGATTTCAGCCACTGTACAGCCCTAAAATGAATGATAGCCTTTAGTTCTTCCACCCCTCAGCTGCTGAGAATATCCTGAAGTTTCTTTCTTCCCATATTGTCCAACATACTGCAGCCCTCAAACCTCTCCACATAGTCCTTCC